GCTCACAGCAACCTCCAACTCCTGGGCTCAAGCGATCCTCCTGCCTCAGCCTCCCAAGTAGCTGGGACTACAGGCATGCACCACCATGCCCGGCTAATTTTTTTCTATATATTTTTAGTTGGCCAATTAATTTCTTTCTATTTATAGTAGAGATGGGGGTCTCACTCTTGCTCAGGCTGGTTTCGAACTCCTGACCTTGAGGGATCCTCCCCCCTTGGCCTCCCAGAGTCCGGGGATTACAGGCGTGTGAGCCACCGCGCCCAGCCCAGGTCATGTATTTCTTCAGATGATTTTGTATCCACTCCCACTGACATGGAAAATGAAATGGTTCGTTATGACTGCCTGATTTAAATTAGATTTTAGCCGCTGCTAACTGAAATCATTTTGTGACCAAGACAGGATATATACTTTTTTTTCTTGCATATAATCCACTCAGCTCTGTCCATTATTATTGTTTCATGCTATTAATCAAATCCTGATCAGAATTTTGAGCAGTGGCTCAGTGACTGGCAAAGGATTTATCGCCAGGGAAAACGGATCACTTTCTAGTTTTGTTACAGTCCTATTAGTTTTGTAGTAATTCCTTTTTTTTATTTCCTTTGTGAGATTTTATTTATTTGGGTGCTACTCTAGTTTTTCTATGGAAAATATAACATGAATGATTATTATGACAATTCTTTAAAAGAGTGAAAACAAATGCTCACAATGAACCAAGCACTCCAATAAACAATTGCATTTTTAAATGTAATCTCTACGATGACCCTGTACACCTCATTTTACAGATAAGCAAATTAAGGCCTGCAGAGATTAAGCCAGACCAAGGTCATGTATCTGATAGGTGGTTGAACCAGGATTACTCAATCCGCACTTTAAAAATATTTGGTCCGAACTTATATATCAATTTGTCAAAACAAATATTAATTTTTATTTTAATGATAAACTTTAAAAAATCTATGATGTACCAGGGACTGAAACTTAGACATTAAAAAAACAAACAAACAAAAAAACCAGCTGAACCACCTTTTGACTGCATTCCTTTGGCATCCACCATTGGAGCTAGAAAGTTTTTCGTGCCTGAACTCTGAGAGACCTCACCCAGCAGAAAAAAGACTCTAATCCCTGGATGGTATCGGCCCTAAAACTGTGAGTTTGTATAACACACTCAATGAATGTGTTCTTTCAATTTCAAAAGGTGAAGAAAGAAGTGGGTGATGTAACCATCGTGGTGAATAACGCTGGGGCAATCTATCCAGCCGATCTTCTGAGCACCAAAGATGAAGAGATCGCCAAAACGTTTGAGGTCAACATCCTAGGACATTTCTGGGTGAGTCAGAAATATGCCTAGATTTGTGCATGTTTGACACCTTCTCTTAATGTACGTGAGGTTTATGATAGAGTTCACATCCTTCTGGGTGGGAAACTGGCCAGATCTTTGCCTTAAATCAAGAATCATCAAATTTGGGCTGAGCATGGTGGCTCATGCCTGTAATCCTAGCACTCTGGGAGGCTGAGGCACGTGGATCCTTTGAGCTCATGAGTTGGAGACCAGCTTGAGCAAGAGTGAGACCCTGTCTCTACTAAAAAAATAGAAAGAAATTAACTGGACAACTAAAAAAAAATATATATATATATATATATATATATATATATATATATATTAGCCGGGCATGGTGGTGCATGCCTGTGGTCCTAACTACTCGGGAGGCTGAGGCAGGAGGATCGCTTGAGCCCAGGAGTTCGAAGTTGCTGTGAGCTAGGCTGACACCATGACTCCACTCTAGCCCAGGTAACAGAGTGAGACTCTGTCTCAAAAAAAAAAAAAAAAGAATCATCAAATTTGTAGCAGAGCCACAGAGTCCCCAAGAGAAGGGTGCAGAGTCCAAGTGGAGACCACACTCCAGAACGGAAGCCACATGGTCTACTTATCGTCCAGCATCTAACACAAAGCCTGGTGTGTACCAGGCCCTCTACAAATCGTGGAGGTTCCTTGGGAGTTGTCATTGTGTATCTTTTCAATGCTTTGGAGGAAATATATATGATGTCCATTCACTCGTGACCTCATTTCATGGGATTTTAGAACTGAAAGGACATCAGAACTAATTGGATACATGCAGGGTCGGGGACTTTTCTAGATAAACTCTGAGACACGTTCTAGATCCATGGGTTACTAGAACTGAGTAGCGTGGCTATACAGACCTCATATAATTGGTTAGTTTTGTGGGGGACTGAAATATTAATGATAATTTCAACTGCCCCTGTAAAGAGCATTTTTATGAGTTAAACTTCCAGTGCTCTGACATTAATGTAGAACCAGGGGCAAATCTAGGTTCTGGAAGAGATGTGTCCTCCCCCACACACACACAGGCTAATGTGAATTCATTATCATGCCCACCAAACTATGCAGAGATGTCTTGCATTAGTGCACTAATATATGCCTTATCTATAGCTGTGTAACAAATGAGACCAAAACTTAGTGGTTTAAAGCAATGACAAATATTCATTATCCTTGCACAGTTTTAGTAGATTAGGAATTTGGAGTTGGCTTGGATTGGCAATCCTGGCTCTATGAGTTTGCATGGAATCTATAAGGATGGGTCTATCAAATTTTCATAAAATGTTATTGAGCTTTTTGGAGGAAAAGACTTTTCTTTCTTGTAATAGATAATACAAATATAATATGATACAACATTACAAATGGAGAGATACTGGATCTAATGGTGCATAAGGATTGTGGATCAGTAGAGAATTCTTAGCTTACACTATTCAACTAGTCAACTGTTTTGACACACGTACACAAGATTTCAGTCTTCTAATTAGAATGATGAAGCCCCGAACCAAAAAAACACATGGCACTGGATTATCATAGGGAATTTTTTTTAGCAATGAGAATTCTGATTTTTTTCCTTAATATTGTTTAGATGCCATACATTTGATTCCTTCTGAAGAGAGAATACTGAGATGGGTGTTGGCTTTGAAATACAGTGCCCAGCACGCAATGCCAGCTCAGACCAATAAATGTTGTCTTTTTTCTTTCTATCATTTGCATCAACTAATCAGAGAATTTTGGCAAGTGTTTAATTTCATTGTGAAAGTTCTCTCAAATGCCATTCTATCTTTTTTTTTTTTGAGACAGAGTCTCACGCTGTTGCCTGGGCTAGAGTGCCGTGGCGTCAGCCTCGCTCACAGCAACCTCAGGCTCCTGGGCTCAAGCGATCCTCCTGCCTCAGCCTCCCGAGTAGCTGGGACTACAGGCATGTGCCACCATGCCCGGCTAATTTTCTTTCTATATATTTTTAGTTGGCCAATTAATTTCTTTCTATTTATAGTAGAGACGAGGTCTCGCTCTTGCTCAGGCTGGTTTCGAACTCCTGACCTCGAGCAATCCGCCTGCCTCGGCCTCGGCCTCCCAGAGTGCTAGGATTTCAGGCGTGAGCCACTGCGCCCAGCCTACCACTCTATCTTAACAAGAATAAAACAACCTGATTTGGAGACCTAACACATGTGTCCTTGTTTCTCTTCTTTCTGCAATGATCCTTAAGATCACAAAAGCACTTCTTCCATCGATGATGAAGAGAAATCACGGCCATGTAGTCACAGTGGCTTCCCTGTGCGGCCACGGAGTAATCCCTTATCTCATCCCATATTGGTAAGTATTACTGGCCAGCAGTGTTACATATTTTTGTTTGTATTTGTATGTATTTAAGGGAATTAGACTTTAGATGCCTATGCTTATAGCAAGGTAATTTGGAAGTTACATAGTAGTATAGAATACAAATTGTAAATGACAATACAGAAGTTACATAGTAGTGTAGAATACAAATTGTAAATGACAATACAGAAGTTACATAGTAGTGTAGAATACAAATTGTAAATGACTTTTTCTAAAACAATGATACTAGTGGTAATTACATTTAAAATGTTTTTAGATTTCTGAAAACTCCCCTGTAGAGCTATGAAAGAAAACAGTAATGTCAAGCATGTTTCCATTGTATCCTGGAATGAGTAGATGTTGGTAAAAGAAACAGAAAATCCAGAAACTAAGGAGCAAAACATACAGAAGCTAAAGTGAACACAAATGTGTCTCATGGCCTGGGTGTCCAAGCCAACCAGAGTGATCCCTGGATCAAAACATTTCCCAGTGTGCTTGTGCTGTGAAAGTTCACCTGTGTGTGTCTGTGTGTGTGTGTGTGTGTGTGTGTGTGTGTAAGACAGAGAGAGAAATAGAGAGAACTTCTGTCTGATTAAAAAATGCAGATATACTCCATGCCCCCATCAAAGACATTAAGAGAAGAATGTGGGAGGCCCCAAAGATACACTACTATATTTGCAAAATAGCCTTTCCTTGTAAATTCTTCTCCAATCCCCATGATGAAATTTAGAAGCCAAAGTGGCAGCCACTTTGTCAAGAGAGAAACTATCCACTCAATTATCAAGAGAGGAGAAATGTGCAAAGTCCCCCAGAAGTCTGTCAATACAGATGTTAGTTTTGTAGTTTTGTCTAAATATGATTTTCCTGATTCATATGTTTCAAAATAAAAGCAAAAATAAAAACTGATTAGAAAATAGTGTAAAGATTGAACGGAAAACCTTGCATGCAGGGTGGAACAGTGAACACTGAGCCAGTGAAACAGAGTTATTGTTATTTTTATTTTAATTTTTAATTCTTTTTTGTCTTTTTTTTTTTTGCAGAGGTCAGCTGAAAAGAGTTATTGTTCTTTTGATATCATTGCTAGTTAAGAAATTTGGGTGCAGTCAGAATTCTGTTAATCATAAAAGAAAATGTAAATGGAAACGAATGGCCGTTTAGCCCCTCAGAAAAATTGCAGGTGGTTGATTTGAGGAGTTTGGCTTCTACTTGTTCCCAAGCCAAATGCTGCCGCCTTCGCGCTGACAGCTGAGCACTGCCTTTCACTGTCCCTTAGGCAATGACGGTTGAAAATTCTCTTACAGTTCCAGCAAATTTGCTGCTGTTGGCTTTCACAGAGCTTTGACATTGGAACTTCAAGCCTTGGGAAAAACCGGTATCAAGACCTCATGCCTCTGCCCAGTTTTTGTCAATACTGGGTTCACCAAAAACCCAAGCACAAGGTGAGTTCAAAATCAAGATAGGATGGGAATCTGCCATGAGAAATTGATATGGAAACTATCTAAGAAATTTTTAGGGCCGGATGCAGTGGCTCACGCCTGTCATCCTAGCACTCTGGGAGGCCGAGGTAGGAGGAGCTCAAGGTCAGAGTTCCAAACCAGCCTGAGCAAGAGCGAGACCCTGTCTCTACTAAAATTAGAAAGAAATTAATTGGCCAACTAAAAATACATAGAAAAAATGAGCGGGCATGGTGGCTGCATGCCTGTAGTCCAGCTACTCGGGAGGCTGAGGCAGGAGGATCCTTGAGCCCAGTAGTTTTGAGGTTGCTGTGAGCGAGGCTGACGCCAGAGCACTCTAGCCCGGGCAACAGAGTGACACTTTGTGTCAAAAAAAAAAAAAAATTTTTTTTAGGCAGGCCAACTAAGAAAATAGAATAAGGCCAGGTGTGGTGGCTCACCTATAATCCTAGCACTCTGGGAGGCTGAAGTGGGAGGATCGCTCAGGTCAGGAGTTCGAAAGAAAATAGAATAAAAGGAAAAAATTTTTTTCTTTTTAATGTTATTGTGTAACCCTTCTCTACAAATTTTTTTTTTTTAATTAGGTAGGAATGCTGGCACATGCCTGTAGTTCCACCTACTCAGGAGGCTGAGGAAGGAGGATCATTTCAGCCCAGAATTTCAAGGTTGCACTGAGCTATGATAAAAGAAAAAAAAGTACATCTGGTTCTAGATTATAGAGGCATAACCACTAACCCTGTCACATATCTGTTACCTTATGTGCAGGAAAAGGGTCATTTATTTTCAAAGACATATAGCGACTCAGGCAAGAGAAGTGGGAGGCTGTGTTCTATCCTATTTTGTCTTTTTACAGTATCTTTTTGGAGGGGCACATGTCAAGAGAGTCAGGGGCTTTGTAAAATTATACTGATGAGCAAACACATTTGCTACTTTGTCTCATAGAACTTACTAAGTATCAACATGTAAGTAAACGCTGTATCTCCTGGGTGTTTTCTAGATAAGAAATGGGGCCCAATAAAAATCTTGTTGGTGGCATTCAAGATTAGTATTGGCTGGGCACGGTGGCTCACGCCTGTCATCCTAGCATCTGGAGGCGAGGTGGGCAAATCGCTCAAAGTCAGGAGTTCGAGACAGCCTGAGCAAGAGCGAGACCCATCTCTACTAAAATGGAAGAAATTAATCGGCCACTAAAATATATAGAAAAAATGAGCGGGCATGGTGGCGCATGCCTGTAATCCCAGCTACTCGGAGGCTGAGGCAGGAGGATCGCTTGAGCCAGGAGTTGAGGTTGCTGCGAGCTAGGCTGATGCCCACGGCTCTCACTCTAGCCTGGGCAACAGAGTGAGACTCTGTCTCAGAAAAAAAAAAAAGATGAGTATGCAACAAGCTTTGCCCAGAGTGTCCTGCCATTCTGGGGGAAGGCACGATCGATGAGAACAGTAAGGATAATGGGACCCTGGGCAGTGGGGTGCCCATTGGTGACCTTGGGGGCAGACAGAGACAGTGCTGAAGAGTTAGCATGGGTCTCACCTAGGCTGCTGGATTCTAAATTTCCTCAGCAAGGACTCAGGCATTGATATGCCAGTGTCCCACTTGGCTCAGAGACTGGGTTGATGGATCCAGGTAGCTGAAATCAGGGACGGAAAAAGCAGAACCCAATAGTTTAGGAAAGTCTTGATTTTTTATTACGCTCTGCCAGCTTGCCATTCAGTGCCATGGAAACCTCAGTGCCATAATGATCTGCAGTAAACATCTCAGGAAATGAAGTTTTAACATCCACTGGTTATTTGACTCCTCTAACCAACCTTGGTTTTGGTTTTTTTTTGTTTTTTTTTTGAGACAGAGTCTCACTGTTCCGCCCGCGCGGGCTAGATGGCGTGCTGTGGCGTCAGCCTCGTCACAGCAACCTCAATCCTGGGCTCATCAGCGATCCTCGCTGCCTCAGCCTCCTGAGTAGCTTCGGCACTACAGGCATGCGCCCCACCGATGCCGCTGTCATTTTTCTTATTTTAGTAGAGGTACAAGCGGGTCTCATTCTTGCTGGGGGTGAGGGCTGGCGTCTGCAAACTTCCTGATCTTAATGCCGCGCACCTCAGCTTCCAGAGTTTCCAGCATTACAGGCGTGAGCCACCGCGCTCCCAGCCTTAACCAACCTTTTTATTCACTGGCCATTCTGCTCATGCCTAAACATGTTAACATATGGTGCAAGATTTTAGATCTATTTATATTTTAATTTTCTGTCATCATCTTGCACCGATGGGCAGTTGCACGCTGGGTTTGTGGCTATTCGTATTTCCCAAGAATACATGTGCACGGTCTTCCGTGTAAGGAAGGCCATGCCTCCTGCTGTCACGAAACACTCCTCGTGCACATCTTTTCTCATTAAACTGCAAGGTAGGCAAGTCAGAAGCGAATCTTGAGTACTACATGCTCTCAAAGCAACCCAGCTTTATGGAATGCCCCTGCAAGAAAGAAAGCATACTTGACTGTAGAATTTTCTCCTTGCATGCAACAGGGCTTGAGGTATCAGGTGTTTCCCTGACGTTTGCATACTTTGACTGAGTGAGCTATGAAACTCATGAAACGCTCCTACTGGATCTAGAAGCGTAAGACTTGATAGCAAACCATCAGCATGGGGTGTGGAGGAAGAAAGAAGGGAGGGCGGCATTCATGCAGTGAGCCCTGGAACATTTTAAATCTTCATTCCAAATGTAGTCAAAAGTCTTCATTAAAAAGATTAAAATTTCAAAAAAAAAAAAAATAAAAATAAACTTTTTTTAAATTTTTTTTATTTTTAATCACAGATTATGGCCCGTGTTGGAGACTGAGAAAGTTGCAAGAAGCCTGATAGATGGGATACTTACCAATAAGAAAATGATTTTTGTTCCATCATATATCGGTATCTGTCTAATACTAGAGAAGTAAGTACGGCACAGAATGCCTAAAATACTGAGACACCAAGACAGCTGGAATTATGGAGAGTCTTTCGGTTGTGGAGGTTGCCATGGAGACGCTCCATCCCTGGGGAGAGCAGTCCAGTTTCATCTGTTATAGCCTTACCTAATCTATAAAAAGAGAACACTTCGTTTTCTCTACCACGTCTCCCATCTCTGGCCAGTCTTTGCCGAAGGCTCTTCTAACTGAAGCCAAGGCAGTTTGAAAAGAATGCAGTATAGTGGAGTAGTTAACCATAAAGGGTCTATTTTTTTAAAAGCCTCCTGGGAATTCGATTGGGATTGCACTGAATCTACAGATCAGTTGGGGGGAAATTGACATATCAAAAATATTGAGTCTTCCAATCCGAGAATCAGTATATCTTTCCTTTCTTTTATCATCTTCAAAATCGTTAAGCAATGTTTTGGAGTTTTTGGTGTTTCAAGTCTTGCACATTTTTTATCAGGTTATCCCAAAGTAGGTCATGGTTTGCTGCTATTGCAAATGGCATTTTTAAAACATTTCTATTTTCCATTGTTTGTTGCTAGTTTATGTTCGATTTGTGCATTTTTTTTTTTCGATTTGTGCATTTTGATCATGTATTCTGAAGTCTTTCTAAACTTGCTAAACTTTTAATCTGCTGAACTTGCTAAGCTTTTTCGTAGATTCCATCAGATTTTTTTATATAGACAATTATACTTTTGGCAAATAATGACATTTTTACTTTTTTCTTTACCATCTGCATGGTTTTATTTATTTATTTTTTCTCGCTTTATTGCCCTGGCTAGAACTTCCTATTCAATGTTGAATAGGATTGGTGAGAGTGTACATCCAAGTGTTCTACTTGATCTTAAGAGGAAAGTATTCAGTCTTTCACAATTAAGTATGATGTTAGCTGCACATTTTTTCTCATAGATGCCCTTTATCAGATTGAGGAATTTCTCTTCTCTTACTAGTTTGATTAGAGTGTTTATTGAGAGTGGATATGGATTTTGTCAAATGCTTTTTCTCAATATATTGAGATCTTATAACCTTTTTGTTTTAGTTTGTTAATGTCATGAATTACAGTTCGAATATCCCTTATCTGAAATGTTTCAGGTTTTTTGGTGTTTTTGAGTATTTGCATTATACTTACCAATTGAGCATCCCAAAGTCAAAAATCTGAAATTTGAAATATTGCAATGAGCATTCCCTTTGAGCAGCATGTGAGTGCTCAGAAAGTTTCAGATTTTAGAGCATTTCGGATTGGGATGCTCAACCTGTACATTGATTCATATTAAAGGATAAACCAATCCTGCCTTTATCTGATTTTGTATCAGAGTAATACTGGTCTTGTAGAAGGAATTGGAAGGTATTCCCTCCTCTTCTATTTTCTGGAATAACTTGTGTGGGATTGGTATTATTTCTTCCTTAAACATTTGATAGAATTCACCAGTGAGGCCACTGGGCCTCTAATTTTCTTTATGGGAAGGTTTTTAATTACAAATTTAATTTCTTAAATAGCTATAGGGCTAGTCAGGCTACTTATTTATTCTTTGTAATATGTATCTTTCAAGAAATTTGTCCATTTTGTCTAAGTTATCAAATTTCTTGGCATAAATTTATATATAACATTCCCTTATTGTCCTTTTAATATCTTTAGAATTTTCCATTCGTGATATTGGTAATTTGTGTTTTCTGTCCCTTTTTTTCCCCTCATCAGTCTAACTAGAGGTTTATCCATTTTATTGATCTTTTCAAAAAACCAGTGTTTGATTTTTTTTTCTCTTTTTTTGTGTTATAGTTAATTAATTTCTTCTCTGATCTATATTATTTCCTTTTGCTTACTTTGTATTTACTTTAGTCTTCTTTTTCTAGTTTGTTAATGCGGAAGTTGAGCTCATCGATTTGATACTGTTTTATTTTATTTCAATTCATTTCATTGTGGTAAGAACACTTAACGTGAGGTCTACCAACTTAACAAAACTTTAAGTGTACTTTACATTACTGCCGACTATAAGTACTGTTGTATTTCAGATCCGTAGGACTTACTCATCTTGCTTGACTGAAACTTTATATACCCATTGATTAGTAATTCCATATTCTACTTCTCCTAGCCCCTGGCAGCCATTATTCCACTCTTGGACTCATGAGTTTGACTACTTTAGATACCTTATACAGTGGAATCATTTAGTATTTGTCTTCGTGTGATGGGCTCATGTCACTTGGCATAATGTCTTCAAGGTTCATCCCTGTTGTCACATATTTACAGAATTTCTTTTAGGCTGAATAGTGTTCTATTGTATGTATATCAATTTTTTTCTAATATAGGCATTTAGTTGTATTAATTTCCCCCATGTACTTCTTTAGTTCTATCACACAAATTTGGACATACTGTGTTTTTATTTACATTCTGTTCAAAATACTTTCTAAATTCCCTTTTGTATTGTGGGAAATTAGAAGTATGTTTTCTTTTTTTGTTCTTGTTTGTTTGTTTGTTTGTTTTACTAGTGCAGGCAGAAGAAGCATGTTTTCTAATATCTAAATAATTTGGAGATTTTCTGAAGATCTTTATGTTATTCCTTTCTAATTTCATTCCACTGTATGACTTGAATATTTTAAATGTACTGAAGCATGTTTAGTGGCCCAGAACATAGTATATCTTAGTAAGTGTTCTATGTGCACCAAAAAAAACATGAGTATTCTGCTGTTTCCTGCTCATGTATGGACAGTCATACATTTTATTTTTACATTTGTTAAAAATCCCATACTGCAGCTATTATTCTTGTTTAAACAGTCAATTGTCTTTTTAAAGAGATTTAAATCACAAGGAAAATTCTCATGGTTTCCCCCACCGTACCGTCCGACGCATCTTCTCGCGTTCCCTTGTTCGATTTTCGTAGGTCCAGTTTTCTCTCTGGTATCATTTCTCTCTGCCTGCAGGACACCCTTTCACATTTTCTTAGGGCAAGTCTGCTGGTTGTGAATTCTTTCATCTTTCGTATGCCTCAAAAAGTCTTAATTTTGCCTTAGTTTTCATTTAATTCATTTTACAGAGACAGACGATTTTGTGATTTTGTGAGCAGATACAGTTATGGACAGGAAGGTTTCTTTGTGAGGGTAGTTATTAATAAAAGGCCCACATAAGCTCTCTTCTAATCCTGTCCTCCCAGTCGCATCTTCCTGCCACTGTTCATTCCCCCCACTCTTCACTCCACCCCACTGCCCCAGCCACAAGACAGGGCCATTAAACTCTTGCATTAGCCAACGATACCAAAGCGATTTTTTTTTCCAATATGACTTTCTTTGTAAAATGTGTTATTCCTGCCACTTTACATTCACTCACACTCTCTTCCTTTCATCTGCCTTCTTGAATCTTACCCATCCTTGAACATCTAGTTGTCCTTTTGAAATTTCTCTCCACTATTCCAGCCCATGTTAATCATCCTCATCCATTCTCATAGTCCTTTATTTAAGAGGCTGATCATTTTTTCAGTAACTTGATTTTAAGATAGCCGCATCTTGGCCTCTCGGCTAAACAATAAGCCCTTCACAAAGGCAGCGCAGCTATTTTTTAAATACTTTAAGTTTACCCTTTCTTTATAGCAGTACACTTAGTAGATACGTTCAGTATCATAGTTAGGCCGAGGTGGAGGCATGGATTCTGGTGGTGTCTCTCTGTGAGCCTTTAGCGTCAGGATTCATCGATAGTTTCAGCAATGAGGTCAGTTCTAGATATATAAAATCATATAAAAATCTCATATAAGATTTTACTAATGTAAGAGGAGAGCTTGAGAAGAGTGATACATACCAGTGTTTTCTTTATATTTGTATGCACTTTGAACTGTGAGTATTAAAACGACACACAAAAAGAAAGAGAGGTAGTTGCAAAGGCAGAAAGGAAAAACAGAGGAAAATGAAATGCAAGCCAAATAACACCTGGGATATTCTAACTAACCCAAAAAAGGACTGTGATGTCAAAGACTTTAAATTGAAATTATTTCATCTCTTTTTTCCATACAGGTTTCTTCCCGAACGCGCTTTGGCAGCTATAAATCGTGTACAGGATATTCAATTTGAAGCAGTTGTTGGCCACAAAATCAAAATGAAATGAATAAATGAGCTGCAGCCACAGATATATGCACGTTAACGACATGACTCTAACTTTAGGGTCCATGCTTCAGAGCTCTATTCCACATTCTCCAGCCATGTTGACATTAAAAACATTGGTTTGGCCCTAACAGCAGTAGAACGAACAAGACTAATCACCTTTCTGTTTTGCAAGAATATTAACGTAGTTTTTAATAGTCAGATTCATTTTTCATCCCATGTCTCTTAAAAATTTCTGTGCTTACATAAACATACTTAAAAGGTCGGTTTTTTTTCTTTAAGACATATTATTTTGTTTCTTTCCGTTTAAAGGTGGACAAAAACTACCTTCCCGAGAGTAAATATGAAGAGAACTGATTTACGCAGGGAAGCTTTAAGGCTGTTCTCAAGTAACCTTCCAACCTGTGGCCAGGCCACAGAATGGCAACAGAAACAGGGAGTTCTCAGTTGGAGATAAGCTTAATTAAGCAAGAAGTTGAGCTCCAAATGACCAACAGGTTACTCTGTAAGACTTGGTATTTGCAGGATTTTAACCTCTTCCTTTTTTATCAGCTCGAAACACTGCAACCATATTCTGGAATTTATTACTTAACTCTGTCCTTTGTTTAACTCTTATGTCTACCAAACGTGGAACCTCTATACTTTCTGTCCTTTTCGTAATCTCTTAAAATACTACACTGTATTACACTACAAAAGACCACTGACTCTATTTTGAATCTGAAGTTCTATCTGAAGTTCTAACTCCATGATAGCCTCTTTCTTTGGAGTTTATGTTTTCATATATCATTGGTCCCAGAGATGTTTAGTTTTTGAGGTTTTGATTTCGATTTGAGGCATCTGTTAGACTGGAAAGGCAGCATTTGTGCATTTACATACATACTGCCAAATTTGTGCAAACGTTTAACAAAATAAATTGCTAAAAATAGAAATGTTAGGCCAATGGGTAAGATCATCAGAATTTTGGATAAATATAAGTCAAGTTGTCTTGCAAAAATATTTGTAATGCACTCTGATGAATTTTAATATTGCTCTGAGTTTGTTCTTTGTGCGCAAAAAGGAAAGTTTTATCTTGTTTCTTTGGCATGTGGATTAGAAAGGAGTTTTTTTCCCCTTCATAATTTTTCCTCGTGGCACGGTTATAAATAATGAAGCCATTTTTAAAAATTTGACAACCCAAATGTTTACACAGATTTGCCATTGCGAAATCTCAATGCCTTGTTCTTTACTTTAAAAAAGTTCTTGAAGATATTTGATTTTAGTTTTACTTTATTGGGCAATTACCATACACAGGCAACTAAAAATATTATACACATATTAACAGCAACAACAAAAACATCTCAAAATAAATTCCGGTTATGTTAAGTGCAAAGAAGAAAACTTCCCATTTTAATTCCATTTTGGTTTTAATCCTTTATGAGTGAAGCTCAGAGAAAGCAGAAGCACAATATTGAGCTCTCTTTGCCCATTTTTCTTGCATAGTTTAAGTGTAGACCTTTTCCTTGTAAATTCCAGCTAAGTTTCTAAATGTTTTACTGTGACAATCTCTACCAGTAATTCTCTCTAAGGGTTCTCTTTCCCACCAAAGTCCCAGTTCCAGGGCTACTACTAGGGTGTGCAGGTTTCCAGGCAAGTATTTTTTGCAGGGCTCCTATCAATATAAATAATGTTATTAAAATTGCATCATAAAATTCATAGATGTATGCTGTATAGTGATTTACTGATAAAGATTTGAATAATAGGAAGATTTCTTTTTTTTGTTTTTCCCATTATTTTTTTTTTTTTTGTAGAGATGGAGTCTGGCTATTGCTCAGGGGCTGGGTTCTCCAAACTCCTGAGCTCAAACGATCCTCCGCCTCGGCTCTCCCAGAGTGCGTAGGTATGACAGGCGTGGGAGCCATTCGCGCCTGGCGCTGAGTAAGATTCTCTTATTTATTGTTAGATCAGGGTGCATGTAAACATTCTTTGCTTGGAGGTATCGCTGGTCCTTAGCTCTTTTTGTTTGGTCCAGGAATCATTTCTTTGTTTTCTTTATTATCAAATAAAAAAAAAAAAAAAAGAAAAAGGGGGGGGGGGGCCCGCCCATGCCTTATGAAGTTTGCATGACCTTCACCAGCAAAAAAAGGTAGCAATGCTATTATTGACTCATGATGCCGATGGGCTGTTTGTGAACGCATAGTTGTACTGGAGAGTAACTAGAAGATCTGTTGTAATCCTGATGTATACCCTGGCTACCAATTTATTTAATGTTGGTTTGTAGGCCGGGTGCAGTGGCTCCACACATGTGATGATCCCAGGCCACTCTGGAGCGAGGCAGGCAGATCAGCTCCAAGGTCCGCCGCCCCAGGAATTTTGAGACCCAGCCTGAGCAAGAGCTAGATCCGTCTCTTTATCCAAAAATTGTAGAAAGAAGTTAATTGGACAGGGCTTAGAAAATGTATAAAAATGAAAAGAAATGATGCCGGGCATGTGGTTGGCGCATGTCTGTAGTCCCAGGCTACTCTGGGAGGCTGAGGCAGGAGGATCACTTGAGCCCAGGAGTTGAGGTTGCTGTGAGCGGGACGGCTGACGCCATCGGTGCACTTCTTAGCCTGGGCAACGAAGGTGAGACTCTGTCTCAAAAAAAAAAAAAAAAAAAAGGTTGGCTTTATTGTTATTTCTGACATTGCATCATTCATTGTGCCACGCATAAATATAGGCTTCCAGTCACTCAGAGATTGTCACTGGCAGTTCTTTGAGGATAACCACAAATTCAACATCTTTTTTTTTTTTTTTTGTCAAATTTTATACTTTAACAAATTTAACATCTTAACCAGGCTGTACATACAGGAAAGCAGGAATGATAATCTGTTTACTGGTCATGTTAAGTTTATCATGTTGTAGCATAACATAAAACAGCACATCTCTCGACTAGGTCTTGTCTTGAACCTTTTGGGCCACAATCACTGCATTCCTAGAATCGATCTCTTTCGTGGTGACTGCACCCTCCCTCCCATACACCACCCACCAGTGGAGAGGGGGTTGTAGGCAGAACAGAGTGAGCAGTCCCATTTGCACAAGGAATGTCTGTTCCTCATCCAGGACAGTTTAACACCAACGGGGGAGAATACAGCATCCCATCAGTCAGAAGGGCCCATTCGTGTGGGGGGAGCAATAGTCTCTTTTTTTTTTAATTTTTATTTTTTATTTTAGCGTATTATACAAGTGTTAAGGTTACATATATTGCCCATGTCCTCCTCCCC